CCCTAGTTGCTGGAATTACAGGTGTGTGTTTTGCCCTGCTAGACCTTGACTTTTTTTTTTTTTTTGTGGTGCTGGGGATTGAACTCGGGGACACTCACAGAGCTACATTTGAGCCCTATTTTGTATTTTATTTATAGACAGAGTCTCTGAGTTGTTTCGCTTTTGCTGAGGATGGCTTTGAACTGGTGATCCTCCTGCCTCAGCCTCCAGAGCTACTGGGATTACAGGCATGCACCACTGCACCCAGCTTAGACCTTGACTTCTTACAGGGGTTTTTGATTGACATGGGAAACAGTGACCCAGTGTTTGGGGGACAGTGTGGTTAGTAGCAAGGCAAGATTGAGATCTGTCAGGTTTCATCTCTGCCACTAATTAACAATATGACTTGGAAACTTTACTAGCCTTCCAAGCATCAGTCTCCTCATCTGTGCAGTGTGAGTCCCTACTTCCAGGTGAGGATTAAATGAGCCCTTTAATGAGATACTTGGCAATTGTAACTAGCCCTTTCGTGTGTCCATTATTCTCTAAAATTTGCTAGGTTGGGTTAGTGAGCACACCAGGGATCCTAGAAAAGAAGCAACATGTTTGTCTTCTCGGGGAAGACTACTAAAGCTAGGCACAAATACCTTGTTTTAGGAGATGCTGGGCATTCCATGAAGACCAGGGTGGCCTTGTGAGACCTCTGGCCTAGTGATAATAAAGGAAAAAAGTCCCTTTGTACTCAGAGAAGACCTGAACGAAATATGGATGATTCAGTTTTCTTAGGCAGCATAGAAAGAAAAAAGAAAATTCCCAACTCCTTCCCAACCTTTTCGTTCATCCTCCCAGGAAAGACGCCCAGGGACTTCTAGCTTCAGAAGGGAGTGAGGAAAGGGGTTTTTGGGGGACATGTTCTTTGAAAGGCAACGCTGGTACAAGGTCACAAGATTTTGAGGATTTTCTCAACTTGTCTTGTATCCTGACCTTCAGGGCTAAGGCTTCCCTGAGAGAAGAACTGGTCCCCCTGTTGCCCTTGAGGTTGGGGCTTAGGCAAAGGCCAGGTAGGCAGGAAACCAGAGCTGAGATTTTCATTCCACTTCCACTCCTGGACTTGGGCTGCACTCAGCAAGTGTTGCCAAGAATATAGGTGAGTACCCTGCAATTTTGTGGCTTAAGGCCCTTACCTTAGTGGCCAGACCAGACCAGAGTCAAGGCTCTGTCCTCTTGCAGAATAGAAATTTTGCAAACATTGGCTGCCTTTGTTTAACTGAATGTTTAGGGGCAGGAGAAAAGAGTTTCTCCTGGGGCCTTATAGAAAGTGAGGTTGGGTGACAGGTGACATTAAGGAGGGGCCCTGAGGATTAAAGAACCATTTTTCCTGACTGTTTTTCATGCTGGTAGGAATAAGACAATAAGGGGTAGCTAGGGTTGGGAATCAGAATGTTCGGGTCTCAGGCTTAGATGGCTCTTGTGCTTGCGGAAGTAGGGATCCAGTAAACAATGAGACCCTGAATGGTCTCTGCTTATATATTTCTAATATCACTGAACTTCCATGACTCTAGGTGGATGAGTTGAGACATAATTGTGAAATGTTGTCAGCATCTTTTATTTTTTTGTACTGGTGATTGAACCCAGGCATGCTTTACCACTGAGCTACATCCTCAGCCCTTTTCCTTTTGAGACAGGGTCTCACTAAGTTGTTCAGGCTGGGGTTACAGCATCAGCATCCTTGTGTGCCTTATGCCATTCTTAGCCCATCCCCTCATGGGCCACTCCTTGCTCACAATGGCTGTAGCCATAATTGTGTATTGGACTTTTTCTGGAATCTAGCAACAGTGTGCCCAGCACAGTGCACCTACTCAACTGTGGGCCTTGTGGTGGACTCTTGGGCCTCCACTTGATTGGTTTCCCTTCCAGACTTCCTACAGTGTCTGGCCCCTGGAACTGAGCCAAAATAATCTCAGCCACTCCTTATATGGCTCCTTCCATATAAGGTACTGTGGATACTGTTGTTTTCTCACAATGTTCTTTGAGATTTGGCTGGTAGGACTTGGGGGGGCCTGAGTTTCCTGAAACAGCTGGATCTTAGCTGCAACTAGCTGGCCCAACCTGCCTCTGGACTTCTCAGCTGCCCCGGGCTCTAGTCCACCTGGACCTTACAACCTGCTTACCACCTTGGACCCCTACAGCTTTGGAACCTGGAGAGCCTAGAAGAGCCACAACCAGCTGGTACAAGTGGCCTTGGGTACCTCTTCAGCCTATACTAGCTCCAATGACTGGAAACTATTTGCAGCATGTTGAGAGTGCTGCCTTGACCATCATTCCAGTCCTCTCTCTGGCTGGGAACGACATCAGCAAGCTACAGGCCGAAGCCCTTGCAGCCTTGTGGGCACTAGGCCTCTTCTCTCTTGTGGACAACTTACTGCAAACCTAGAGTTCAAGGTAGTGGTTGACAATCAGACAGCAGGCACATGGCTGCTGTTGTCCAACAGTCCCTGGAAGTGCTACTGTGACCCGCAGTGGGCCTTTGGGAAGTTGGCATGTGGCCAACCTGGGCATTTTGACATGTGCTGGGCAGTGTAGAGGCCCAGCTCTGCTTGGCTGAGATGGCCATTGTGCTAGGCATCAGAGAATACCATGCTGGTTACCATGGCTGTGGTTATGGATGAGTGTAAGTGCAGGCAGGGCCCTAGAGGGTCCAGATAGCTGGGGAGCCCTCTGGAGAAGTGAGGAGGGCTACAGAAGGAGGTCAAGGTAGCTAGAGAAGGGAGGTTGGAAAGTTTCTGAAAAGTTCAATTGTCTACCCAGACAGAATTAAAGTATGGGCAGGGGCAAAGCGGCTATGTTGATTTCTCAGGGTCTAAATAGCCCACCCATCCCCTCCTCTGACCTAGTACAGTGGCGGCATCTGTCTCAACTCTAGAAACTAGGATCTGGCTATAGTCCTTTCCTTCTCAATTCTTTGGGAGAGGGTAGTGAAAGAAGAACCTAAACCAGAGAGACTGGCATGGAGTGGGCACCAAGGAAAGCTTTCTTAATCCTTATCTTTCCCCTCTGCACATATCAATAACTTCTGCTGATGGACACTTAATTGAAACACTGCTAATGTTATGGTGGGGGACAGCCTGTGGGGACAGCCCAGCTGGGGCTTCTAGGATGATTTTACGGATATTCGTAATTCCTGTTCTGGTCCTCCTCAACACCTTAGGGCTTAAATCAGGAATGGGTAAAGAGACTGGAAAAATAAAACCCATTGGAAAGTGATTCTGTACTATGTGCCTGTGTTAGGGTGAAGAAAACTTAAGTTTGTCTGGTTGTCATTGATGGGCAGAGGTAGGCAAAATGACTTTTTTTAGAGGGTGGAGAGGGTACTGGGGTTTGAACCCAGGGCCTTGTGAATGCTAGGCAAGTGCTCTACCACCAAACTATGTTCCCCAGTCCCCCCTTAAAGATATTTTGAGATAGGGTTCCACTAAATTGTCCAGTCTGGCCTCAACTCTCAATTTTCCTGCCTCAGTCTCCCAAGTAGCTGAGGTTACAGGCATGGGCCACCATGCCTAGTGAAAAATGACTTTGAATGTGGGCTTTTCCTCATTTCTTCTGCCTAGACATCTCCCCATTCCCACAAGATAGATTTACACAATTACATAATCCCATTCCCTAGTTATTTGCATGGATACATTAACTCATGTTCCTTCTGATATACCCAGATTTTAGCCTAATGACTTTTTAAAAAATATTTTTTAGTTGTAGATGGACACAATAGCTTTATTATATTTATTTATTTTTATATGATGCTGAGGATTGAACCCAGTGCCTCACATGTGCGAGGCAAGACTCTGCCACTGAGCCACAACACCAGCCTTAGCCTAGTGACTTTTAAAAATGAAATGTGAAAAAGAATTTGTTGCTGTTCAGCTGTATTTTAGTTTTTTTGTTGCTGTGACCAAAATACCTGACAAGAGCAACTTGGAAGAGGAAATTTTTATTTTGGGCCCATGGTTTCAAAGGTTCAGTCTATGGTTGGCTGACTCCATTACTCTGGATCCAGTAGAGGAAGAACATCATGGCAGAAGGGTGAGATGGAGGAAATCTGCTCAGCTCATGGCAGCTAGGAAGCAGAGAGAGAGAGAGAAAGGAAGGGACCATGGACAGATACAGTCCAAGGCCACTTCCCCAGTAATCTACCTCCTCCAATCATGGCTCACTTGCCTAGGTACCACCCAGTAGGCAAATTATTAATCCATCAAATGATTAATCCACCGATAAGGTTACAACCCTCACAATCTAATCATTTTCTAAATGCCCACCTCTGAATATTGCTGTATTGGGGACCATGCTTTCAAAACAGGAGCTTTTTCTGGGAGGGGGCATTAAAGATCCAAATCACAATAAGCTGTCATTGGCTACTTCATTTTTTTTTTTAATTGGTTAGAAACGCTGTTTGGACATGAGCCCCTTCCAGGGAATTGGAAGTAGATCTGAATCAAATGACCCACTAGGAGTGCTTGCAGGGTCTTTAGTATTGTGGGGTGAATTCAGTGTTAAAGGGTACAGGTATGGTCAGGAAGATTGGGGGCAGCTTTGTGGTGGTAACCCTAAAATGCCCAGAACTTTTGCCTCTAATAAATATTTATTGAGCATTATGAACTACATATACTGACAACACTTTTTGTTAATATATAGTACATATTTCAGAATATATTTTGTATACTGAGGCTATAAATAGTAAATAGAGGCCTGGAGTGTGGTGGCCCATACCTGTAATCCCAGTGGCTCAGGAGGCTGAGGCAGGAGGATTGCAAGTTCAAAGCCAGCCTCACCAAAAGCGAGGCACTAAGCAACTCAATGAGATCCTTTGTCTAAATAAAATACAAAAATAGGGCTGGGAATGTGGCTCAATGGCTGAGATCCCCAGAGTTCAATCCGCAGTACCCCCCCCCCCCCTAAAAAAATACTGTCTTTATCCTCATGAAATTCACAATTTAGTGAGGGAAGATAGTCATAAATAGGAGTCACAAATATGTGATTGCCTTTGTGCTGTGATTCAAAGGAAGGGTAGCTGATGTTAGCATATATAATAGGGGAATTGAGAACAAACTGGAGGAGGCCAAAGGGGAAGTGGGGAAGGCCATTTGGAAGGTTGCTGCAGTTAAACTGATAAAAATGATAGTTTGGGCTAGAGTGTGAGCATTGGAACTGGAAAAATGGAGTGATTTGAGGTGTTCCAAATGGCCACATTAGATTTCCCTGTTCTCTCAGGAGACAGACAGGAGCCAGGAGTACTCCTTACTTTAAACGGAAGCTGAGGGATTTCTTCTGGGATCTCTGTGTGTATGCCTTTTATTGAATTCCTACTATGTTCTAGGACTAATTGTCACAAATTCCCGAAAAACTCTGTGATCATTATCCCCATTCCACAGTTAAGTCTCAGTTTAGGCAATGTGCCCAACATCACAGAGTTAAAGTTCTGCCTGCAAAGATTAGTTTGCTTCCATACACCAAGCTACAATACAGGACTTACAAGGTTCTGACCCCATCGTTCCTTACTGAGGTCTAGTATTCAGTTTTGTAGGTACAAAGTGGGGCCCTGAAGTCTACACCCGCAGAATAGAAGCCTGAACTCCCGTTAAGAGAACGCGTCCTTCCTTTCGGAACTGAAAGCGCGAGCGTCGTTTTCTGTCGGAAGCAATAAGCAAGGGACCGGAAGTTTCGTGGCCCATCCCAGAGCCCGCCTCCCAGACCCGGGTGAGGCTGCCGCGGACTGCCCTTTCCCAAGATGGCATCGAAGATAGGTTCGAGACGATGGATGCTGCAGCTGATCATGCAGTTGGGTTCGGTGCTGCTTACACGCTGCCCCTTTTGGGGCTGCTTTAGTCAGCTCATGCTGTACGCTGAAAGGGCCGAGGCGCGCCGGTGAGCGCGCCCACGCAGCCGCCGAACGCGGTGGGGGGCGATACGGCCTGTCCTGAGAACTGGGTTGCAGTGATGTGGGAAAGAAGTTGGGGCCCAGAAGTTGGGACTCTTGGACTGGGAGGAATTGGTGCCTTGAACTTGGGAGGGGTGCTATGGTCTGGGCATCTGGCCAGATCTGATGCGGTGGTTCTAGCCACGAGAGGGGTCTTCAATTGAGGGAGCAGTGCAGCTTGGGGGAAACTCATGGGGTCTCAAGGCTCTTCCCGGTTTTATTCTGTCCTCATTGCTTCTCGGCTCGCAGGAAGCCCGACATCCCAGTGCCCTACCTGTACTTCGACATGGGGGCAGCCGTGCTGTGTGCTAGCTTCATGTCCTTCGGAGTGAAGCGGCGCTGGTTCGCGCTGGGGGCAGCACTCCAGCTGGCTATTAGCACCTACGCCGCCTACATCGGAGGCTACGTCCACTACGGGGACTGGCTGAAGGTGAGCGTATTGGCCCCAGAAGGGGGAGCTTCAGACCAATTCCCAGGGCACTTAGTGGGCTTGCATGGTGTGCTAGTCAGATGTGAATCCTGGGAGGACGGAGTCCTTAGACTTGTGTTAAAGGGCAGAAATGGAAGATCCTTAAGCGAGCACATAAACCTTCCCTTCAGTGTGTGGAAACTGAGGTCCAGAGATGGGAAAGACTTTTTACTGAGATGACATTACATGATTCTTTGGTAGGATCAGAACCCAGGTGATGTATTCTAAGAATCCTTTAAACTATTAGTTTAGTAATCCCAGATTTATACATCAACAAGGACCTTGGTGAGTATCTGGTTCAACCATCTAATTTTATGAAATGTAATTAATCTTAGTGCAGCATTTAAACCTGTAAATGTCAGAACCTATGTTGAGCACTACAGGCTTAAAGGTAAGGTTGGAAAAGGACTGATTTCGCAGAAGGGACTGTCAGTCCAATAAGGGAGGCAGATATGTGTACAGTTACAAGAGGGTGAGTTCAGCCCTTCTTCCCTCCCTCTCTTCCTTTTTCTGACTCTGTTCTATATACTGTATAGAGGAAAGAACACCGGCTGAGTCTCCAGACCTACCGGATGGGGAAAGGGGCAATGTGTGGTGTCTGAGTTCTGTCACTTACTTTCAGTAGGACTGTGGACAATTTTCTGAACCCCTTTGGGCCTCAGTTTCCACTTCTGTAAAAAGGAAATATCTATCTCTGCTGTATCTGCCAACCACTCTTAGAAATAAGAGGGATTATCAGTTGGAATCATATGTGTAGAGATGGGCAGTTCTATCCTCTGGGCAGCCAGGAAAAATGTGGTGGCTGCAGTTCCTGACTGGAGTCTCCTTGCCCTGGCCTTAGGTTCGTATGTACTCACGTACAGTTGCCATTATCGGTGGCTTTCTGGTGCTAGCCAGTGGTGCTGGGGAGCTATACCGTCGGAAACCCCGCAGCCGCTCTCTTCAGTCTACCGGCCAGGTGTTCCTGGGCATCTACCTCATCTGCGTGGTAGGTTGGGTTTCTAATGTTTGGAGGTGCCTGACTGGGAATGAAATGTGAGCCCAGGCCTGACAGAACCCAGGAAGATAGTCAGAACAAGGGCTTGCTGATGGCGTGGCTGGCAGTGGTTGCCCTGGACAGCTTCTAGGCCTCACCAGCCCTCCAGGCTTCTTAGAACTAGCTGAGAGCCCTTCTTCCAACATTAAACCCACCAGGTAGAGAAGTTGGATTGACCATTCAGTTCCAACCCTGAAAGACAGGAGAACAAGATGGGGTGGTTTTCTCTTATGGGTTCAGCTTCTAGAGGACTGGGAAAGTGGACAGAGGAGAGGTTTGATGGGATTGTAGCTAGGACTCTGCCACCTAGAGCTGATGGAGAGTACCTTGGGTAGTCAGTCATGATTCTCCTTGGTGCTAGGGGAGGCCAGTGTGGAAGAGTACATGAACAGGCCCCAGGTACTTGGCCTCATCTTAGTTGCCAGGTATCAAACCCTTGTGCAGGACTCCATGTGGGATTCCATGGTATATTCAGAGGTGGGACCCCCCAGTGTGACTGGATATATACTTCCTTCCTTCAGAAGCCCCAGGGGGCCAGGCACAGTGCTGCACACTTGTAGTCACAGTTTCTCCGGAGACTAAGACAGGAGAATCACAAGTTTGAGGCCAGCCTTAGCAACTTAGGGAGACACTGTCTCAGAAAATTTAAAAGGGCTAGTGGTGTAGCTCAGTGGCAGACTATTTGCCTAGCATATTCCATTCCCAGCACCGCAAAAAAAAAAAAAAAGAAAGCCCTTGGGGAAGAGGAAATGCAGCTTAACCTGCTGGGGCTCTGTAGTCAGAGAAGGAAACAGGTCCTACTTTCAAAGAGTCCCCATTCTGAGAGAGGACTTAGTGGCCCATTTTGCAGGGCTGATTTGCAGGTGCCATCCCATGGGTGGCCTTCCCCAGATGGGCATTCCAGCCTGTTGGAGAGTCTTAGAGGATGGTGTGTCTCCAGGCCTACTCACTGCAGCACAGCAAGGAAGACCGACTGGCATATCTGAACCATCTCCCAGGAGGGGAGCTGATGATCCAGCTGTTCTTCGTACTGTACGGCATCCTGGCCCTGGCCTTCTTGTCAGGTTACTACGTGACTCTGGCTGCTCAGATCCTGGCTATCCTGCTGCCCCCGGTCATGCTGCTCATTGATGGCAACATTGCCTACTGGCACAACATGCGACGTGTAGAGTTCTGGAACCAGATGAAACTGCTCGGCGAGAGTGTGGGCATCTTTGGGGCTGCTGTCATTCTGGCCACTGATGGCTGAGTTTGACAGCAAGAGGCTGAGTTGGGCACAGGGAGCTACTGCTTCGCTGGCCCTGTTGCTGTTTATTTATGCTTCTTGGTCTGTTTGATTTTTTGCTCCCCCCCATTTTTTTTTTTTTTTTTTTTTTTTTTTTTTTATTGAGAGTTTTTTTTTTTTTTCGGTTCTTGTCTTTTCCTTGGGAGGGTGGGTTCCCTTAATTTATTGCGTGTTTTTTTTTTTTTTTTTTTTTTTCCCTGTTTGTTGAGAGGAGAGCTGAGGCCAGCTGCTTCCTGGGTCCCCAGGAAGGGGAGAATTTTTGAGAAGGGAGTGAGGCAGGATGCAGCTGCTGAGAGTGAGTGACAGAGGAAGGAAGATGGAGACTGGGAAGTACATGAATGGGAAAATTTTTCCTTTTGAACCTGGCAGATGCAGCTAAGCTCTGTGGTGCTTTTCAGACTGTGTTGACACATATGGCTCAGGCCCTGGAGGAGCAGAAGAGTTGGCAATACAGAAGTCACACAGTTCTTAGGGCGTACTGGGGGCAGAAACAGTACCAGCTCTTTGTCATGTACCTTGAGAACCTCTGGGATATGTAGGGGTGGAGCAGGCAGCAGCCAGCTTCCCATCCCTGCTGTCTGTTTCCAGCTGTATGGTTGGCCTGGTGGGAGTAGAGTGCCCTCCCAAACACCAGACCACACAGTCCTCCAAAAATAAACACTTTATATAGACATTTGGCTTCACTTTTCTGTTTTCCTCACGGGGCACTTTGCCATTGGCTGGGATGGATTGTGAGTTTCTTGAAACACCATATCTGGTTAAGCCCAACTTTGATCCTCCCATGGTTTCCCCTGTTCTGAAAGTTCCATAGTCCTTTGACTGTCTTCAAGAATTTCAAAATCTGAGCTGGGGTATAGCTCAGTGGTAGAACACTTCCCTAGCATGTGCAAGTCCCTGAGTTTAGTCTCCAGCTCCATAAAACAGCAAAACCTCAAAATCTTTACTGTTGTTTATACTTTTGATTTCTTTCACTCTTGTAGCTTGTCTTTCCTTCCCCACTTGGGGCCAGCTCTTTTGAAGAAAACTTTAGCAAGGGCAATTAGAGGGAGTGAACTAAGGTTGTGTCCACTTCAACAAGTATTTTACATTTTCACGTGAGGAAATGGGGGCTCAGAGAAGGTAAGCAGCTTATCCCAAGCTGCGGAGCAAGTCCAGCTACAAAGCAGGATTCTAGGTTAGGTGTCTAGTACCCAAGCCCAGTATGTCTTGAGACATGTTTCTTGAGGGAAGACAGGTTTCTTTGAGGGCCTGGGTTTTGTCACCAAGAGGGGCTTTTAATTGACCATCTCCCTATTTTTCTGTGCACTTTTGGACAGAAAATAATCCTAGTATCTAGTAGGGCACCTGACATGTGCTTCAAAAAATGGTGAATGAAATGTCTGGGCTTTGGATTCCTGCCGCTCTGAGGTATGCTGATCTTGCAGAGATGACACAAGCTCCATTGGGGCTGGGGGACATATCCAAGTCTAGACTTTCAAGCCAAACCCACCCTGTGGCTTCTCTGGGCTCTTGTAGATAAAAGATGAGCCATTGATGTTTGGTCTTGCACTAGGCCCAGCCTGGAAAGGGAGCTGGGGGTGGGGGTGGGGCTCCCACAGGGGATGGAGGCTGGGGCTGCTCTTGGCCTGAAATGTCTTCTAACCTAGGGGAAAGCTGGCATCAGGTGAGGAGATGATGGCAGCATTCATCCTTGGGGCCCTCCATCTCATTGTTCCTTTACTCTATAAGTCCCCTGGTTCTCAAGTTCTTGATCCCAGAGGGTCACTGCTAATTTCCTTTCAAGTGTGAACTGACTCACAGAAGTATTTGCATTTTAATCAAGGCCTTCTGAAAAATTGTAAGACCCAAAGGAATTAGAGTGAGTGATAGAATATCAGGTGGTGTCTGTGTGTGTGAGACAGAGATTTTGGGCAAGGGAGCCTCAAAATGACACAGAGGCCTAGAAACTGGCCTATTGTTAAGGTTAGCCCCGAGTAGGGCCCTCCAAGGCACCCATGCCCCAGTCCCCAGGCTGAAAATTGAAAGCCACCTGGTTGTGTCTTCAAAACCTTAGGCTGGCCCCCCCTCCTTGTACTTGTCCCACTTTGGTGTTCCCTCTGCGCAGAGCTGGGGCTGCTTCTTCCTCTGCAAATTACTCAGCCAACAAGCCCCAACCAGCCTGTGGCTGCCTGGGGTCACCCTCAGCAGGAATGGCTTTCCGTTTACCCTGGCTATCCCAGGGCCTACAGGACCTGTGGTAAGGGTCAGCTGCCTGGGTCAGAATCTGGCTTGCAGAAGGAGTCTGGCAGCCCCTTGGCATGGTTGACCAGTTCATAGGAGTCCCGGATATCTGCTAGGCCAAACCAGAAGAAGATCCACTGCTTGTTGGAGAAGCTGCCATCACTGTGCTTGAAATACCTGGGTAGGGGGAAGGAAAAGGGAGCAGCTTTTAGGTCAAGGCTCATGCTCACTACTCACTGCGTCTGTTTTCAGGAGTCTATTAGTTGTATATTATATGCTGGATGCCCAGCTGGGACCCATTGTGTTACTTCATTCTTCCCTCAGTAGCAGCTGAGCCTGACATTTCAGGCTGTACTGTCTTTTCACAGAAAAGCAACTAAGACTCAGGGAAGTGAGCTAACTTGCTAGGGTCACACAGCTAGGAAGGTCAGAATACGAACATCCCTTCCTCTCCCCACTGCCTTGATGGTTGGTTCTTGGTGACTTTATTTACTTATTTATTTGAGACAGGGTCTTGCTAAGTTGCCCAGGCTGGCCTCGAACTTATGATCCTCTTGCTTCAGCCTCCCAAGTAGATGAGACTTGCATATGCCAGCATATCCAACTTCTTGGTCTCTACCAACTGAGCTATATCTCCAGCCCCTTAGTCACTTCTTAGTGTCCACAGAGTAGGGTAGGGAGGGATAGGGGCATAGTTGTGAAGGAAAGAGAGGAGGGGTGTTTCATTGAAGGTACTGTGGACCTGGATTAAGGAGTTTGGCAATGGGGTCTGAAAAGAGCCTCTAGAAGGGTCAGGATTTCTTGGGAGAGACAGGCTGCTGCCTGGGGGTTAGGAGGTATCACTTGCTTCAAGGGAAGCAGAGATGTGGGCCTGAGGAATGTCACTAGGGAACCCCAGGCCAGGCCATTCTCTGTGGAAGGGAAACTAGTAAAAGAAGGAAAGCTTAGTATCTTTTTCTTATGGTGCTAGGGATTGAACCCAGGGCCTTGTGCATCTGCAGCAGGCACTCTACCAACTGAGCTATATCTCCAGCCCTGGGGCGCTCAGCATCTTGATGGTGAAACCCAGTCATGGCTGGCAGAAGCAGCAGAGGGAGAGACAGGGCCTACCAGGGATTGATGGGGTTGGTGACCCTGGAGCGCCAGAACAGCATCTGCAGGTCCCGCCGCAGGCATTCCCACAGCATCTGGCCAGAACCTTGGCCTTGGCGGCTGGAGCTCACTACAAATTTGTCCAGGTACGGGGTGCCCCCAAGTACCGGCTCTAGGGTCAGAATGGCCGCAGCGTTGTACCTGGAGCAGGGGGCGGAGAGCCAGGCTGGGACCTCTCATTGATCTGAAGTTGCCCATCAACGACCCTGGTCCCTTGCCCTCTGAGGCCCGCAGGCTCACCCCTCAGAGACATAGATGGAGTGCAGCCGCGGACGCAGAGAGTCCAAGTAGTCGTCCCGGAGCTTCTTGCCAAAGCTGGCGTTGACCAAGTTCACCAGGCGCCCCTGGTCTAGGCTGTCCAGGTTGCAAACTCGCAGCATCCTCTCGGCATTCTTGAACAGGGTCCCTGAGCCTAGGGTGAGATGAAGGAAGGGGTTAGGTTGACCCAGGGCCAGGCCCACTTCTCAGTGTATGCGGCCTGCTCGGGGCTCCAGGCAGAGAGGGGACTGGTGGCACAATTACTGTCTTCGGGACACCTCCAAAGTCAAATGATTTCTGTGGTTTGCCGATTTGTCTGTTTTTCATTCAAGGAGATGCTCTTCCCAGTTTGTACCCCAAGTTTCGCACATCACTCGTAGTCCCTCCTATTACCTTTAGACCTTCTCTCCCTAAATTTTGTCCTATCCCGCCCCCAGTCCCACCTACCTGCCCAAGTCCAGCCCACCTCTCCTACACTCGGCTATTCCCCCTCGGTCACGCCCCCTCAAAATCCCGCCCATCCGATTTCTCGCATCTTAAGTCCCGCCCATCTCCCTAGTTCTACCCAAGTTCCGTTCCAGCCTGGTCCATCTTCGCCTCCCACACCTCCACCTGGTTTCAGCAGGAGCAGGAACCCATTGGTGTGGCCTCCCGCTACGACTTCCAGGCTGCTGGAGAAGCCGGACTCCTGCACACCTACAGCCAGGCCAGACCGATGCTCAACCTCCCGCCTCAGACCCACCTGCTCACCTGCCCGCCCACCGGGGACCCTCACCCTTGTTGCTGAAGAGCTCCGTGAGCAGCGTGCTGGCGGCGGTGATGACAGCCGAGGAGTGGTGGGGCAGGCGGCTGAGCACGTCCAGAATGAGCCGTATCTGTTGCCGTTCTTTGGTGCTCACCCACTCCGCGTTGGTCACCAGGTCCAGGTCCGCAGGCAGGTTCACATTACTCAGGACCTGAGTCCCCAGCAAGGGGATGAGCCATGCGCCCTTAGCCGACCACAGATGTCTTCCTTAACCCCCAGATTGCGTCATTTCCCCAAGGACCTCTTTTCTCTGACCCCTTTATTAACTTACTTCCGCCAGGGAATGCTCAGATCTGGACGCAGGAGGCCAAACTTGTTTTTTTTTTTTTTTTTTTAATAATTATGCTTTCCTATCTACCGGGCTTGAAAGTGACTGTGGCCGGTCCAGGAGGCGAGCAGGGGCCGCAAGGGTGGGGGCTCAGCTTGTCCTAGAGTCATGGGGTGGGATGGGCGTGCAAAAGGAGGAGCGCACCTTATGACTGCTGTTGCGCAGGCCGCCTGAGTTATTGAGGAAGATGATTTTGGTGGGCTGCAGCGCCTTGGCCAGCGCCGCGGTCACCTCCAGAGAATCGAGAAGCACTGAGCGGCGTGCAGCCGTCTCCCCAATGGGGCACAGGATGGGGATGCTGCTGGATTCCAGGCACCACTGCAACAGGTCCGTCTCCACCGAGACGATGCCACCATAGCTGTGGGCCAGACGTGGTGCTCAAGAGGGCCCCTCCAGCACCATCGGACTGGGGCAGGGTGGGCCAAGTAGCCTGCTCTGACGACGCCGAGGAGGGCAGGGCCGTCACTAACCTGGCATGGGGGGCTGGCTCTGCAGCACTCAGCACTGACCCGCCGCCAAAAAAAGGCACTGCAGTGGCTGCGTTGTGCCTCAGCTCATCCACCAGCACCTTGCAGCTCTGAGCAAGCTGTGCTTTGGCCTCCCAGAATGAAAGACAGCCCGAGGGCGCTGTGGGGGCCGGCAGCCCCAGAACCACCAGTGGCTTCATGTCCATGCGCTGCAGAAAGGCCAGGGCGAAGGCCAGGCTGGATACGCCCCGCGGGCACTTGAGCACCTCCTCATCCACCTGCGGGCACAAATAGGCGGTCAATGCGAGCCACTTTGGCCCTGAACCGCCTGATCTTTACAGCGAGGACCTTAGGTCCTCTCATGACCACCTGCTCAGGAGTTGACAGGCCCCACTTCTGGTCACTGGAGCCCACCTGCTCCGCCCTTTGCCCGTTGGGTCTTGCCGCTCCCTTATCTCACACTGCAGTTCCTCCCACCGCTCCTCCCAGTAACCTTGGACTCTGGGACACCTTGGGGGGAGGGGTGATGCAAGCAACTCCACCCTCTGAACCCCTAACTGCGTCCATGGTGGGGGACCTTCTTCAGGCATCGCATCTGAGGGTTAGGTTCCCCAGGTTTCGACCTCAGGTTGCAAGGGAAGCTTCTGGAGCAGCGCGAGACCTCGCCCATTCCCGGCACCCGTCAGCACTCGCCGTGCCCTTTCTCAGTTCCGCTGTCCAGTCCACAGCTTGTCCTGCTGTGCCTGACAGTCGCTACACCACCCCTATCCCTTCTCGGTGACAAGGCTCCGCTCACCTCGATGACGGCGAAGGGCTTGTCTGTGGAGTAGTGACAGCTCTGGAACTGGGTGAGCCAGTGGCGCGCCTCCCCGGGGCTAGCCCCACACTGGTTCAGGAAGGCCTGGATGTCCCGCTGCACCAGAGAACGGCCAGCCGGGGGCGCGGGGGTTTCGGGCGGCGCCGGAGGCGGCGTCCACAACGGCTCGGTTGTAGTGGGCGACGGGACGCGGTCCTCAGCGCCCTCGGCCTCCTCCGGCTGGGATTGGGCACGTGCCCGCGCGGTGCTGAGCCGGCGTCCCGGGCTGGCACCCCCAGCGGCCCGCCGCCGTGCGCTACCACTCAGTCTCCGTGCGCCCCCAGTGCCCAGAGGGCCGTGCAACTTCCCGCCGGTAGCAGCGGTCCGCAGGGTAGCTGCCACCCGCGCTGTCGCCATGACGAGAACCAACCCCGCTCGTCCCCCACCGGTGTCGATCAGTCCTTAGCGCTCGGCACAGTGGGGAAGGGGAGCTCTTAACTTGTCGCTGGGCGGGGCTGGACCTGGCCGGGGCGGATCCGGACCTGGGCCACAGCTTGAGGAAGGTCAGTTCATGGGTTAGGGGGCGGAGCCGCCAGCATCTCCCGCCCTTAGAGGGGACGGTACTCGCTGGCGAGGTACACCAGGCCCTGATAAAAGGCGGTGGAGCTCTTTAAAGTGCGGCCAAGTTCGGTTCCAGGAAGGGCTTACGGACCCAAGGGTGGCTGTAGGAGTCAGCGGGGTCCTCGATGGTTAAAGGGGACTCTGACTAAAGCGAGAAAGGAGAGCAGGTGGTCATTAGCGCAGAAGGGACTGGAAGGAGGGGTCGGGAAGAGTCGAGGGAGGTGGAGTCAGCCTCGCTCCAGGGTGTGAATGCAATCTCCTGTGGTCTGAGCTCACGTGGGGTTACTAGGGTTTGTGACCTCCAGCCACTAGGAATCACCCTGAGGAAACTGCCCCATCCCCAGAGCACCCCTTCCTAATATTAAGGCTTTTCCTTAAACCATTTAAACTTAAAATCTGTTCATAATAGAACTGTAACTAGAAGGCCAATATTCCTTTCCAGATACAGAAGGAAGCCTTAAGAGTAAAGTCATATCGCGGTGATGCACACCTGGAATCCCAGATATTCTGCAGGTTGACGCAGGAGGATTGTAAATTTGAAGTTAGCCTCAGCAATTTAGGGAGGCCCCCAACAATTTAACAAGAGCTTGTCTTAAACAACAACAAAAACAAAACAAAAACAAAAAAGGACTGTGGGTGTGGTTCTGTAGTTAAGCACCATTGGGTTCAATCCCCATTACCAATAAATAAACAAGCAAACAAATAAATAAAACAAAGAGAGACTAAAACAATGTCATTAAATTCCAGCTGGATAGTGTAGCCTACTGTCTTGGAACATGGAAGGTTAGCAAGTGCCAGGTATTAACCACACCTGGCACCATGTGAGGACTTCACACACAGCAACGGGCACTTCCCAAATTGTAACTCATTTAATCCTCACAATGACTTCAGGACATATATGGTTATTATCCTCACTTTACAGATGAAGAAATTGAGGCATAGAAATAAGTGAGAGCTACGGTCACTCTGCTCACAAGCAGGGTTGTCTTTGAAGCAAAGTTTTTCTATTCAGATCCAGGCTCTTAAGCAAGATTTGGAATGAATTTGAAAGACTTGAACACTGTCAGGGGATATGGTTCTGTGTTACTTAACTGGGTTCATATGCTGCCTGAACACACCTCCCTGCCCTTTAAGTTGTTCGTGTCCTACACGTGTCCTACACTGGGTGGATGCCATCCAGTCTAGTCTTCTGTTACAGAGGAGGAATGAGACTGTCTTTTGTAGAGGGCAAGTTACTTGGCCAAGGTCACCCAGCTTGTCAGCATCCTGGCTAGACTCTAGATATGTTAAGTTCCCATCTCTGCTCTTGTCTTCCTTAGGGTGGTTTTGTGCTCTCTAGGCTGAGACTCAAGACTCTTGGGGCACCACCTAAATTGGGAACGGTGGCCGGGGCTGCTTCCCTCCTGAGTGTTCCGGAGGATGCAGGGCTGGGGATGTAGATCAGTAGTAGTAAAGTCTATGTTGCGCATCTGCAAAGCCCTGGTTCCATCCCCAGCACCCTGCTATCCCCGCAAAAAATAAATAAATAAGTAAAAATAAATGAAATTCAAAGGATGCAGTGTGAGGATACTGACCCTCTTCCTGGAAACTCCCCCCATTAACACAACCACACACACTGTCCCAGGCAGGAGACTAAGTGTGTGGGGGTGAACCTGACTTTCTGACCTCATCATCAACTTTTCCATTTTCCTACTCAGAAATCTGGGTTTCTAGTTAAGGAGTAAAGCAGTGGTTCGGAGGATCTGCACTTATCCCCTGGAGACCACCTTCACAGCTTTCTTTCTCTTCCATCTTTCTGCCACCACCCCCCCCACACCCCTCCCACATACATTCCCAGAGCTTCTCAGAGCAGGTGGGCCTAGCCCCTGGGGCATAATAATTTTCCTCCTCACCCTCAGAGACTCCAATCTCAAATATGCTTCCCCTTCCGTGTTCTCCATCTAAGCTGTTAATCAGAACACCCCTCTCCCTTCAGAATTCTTCCTCCTGTGTCCCTCTGTCTTTTTTGTCATAGATTGAGCTCCCTGGGGTCAGGGGTGCTGTCTGCCTTCTTAGATTGGGGGCTTCCTGTTGAAGCACCCAACTCTAAACAACTCAGAAGTTTCTGGCTGCATTAGCCCCATTTCCCCTGAGTCTGTAGGGCACACATGAGCTAAGAAGCTGCTTTCGGCTCCTTTGGGCTTCATCCCAAAGGGCTGTGTCCCCAGGCAGCCAATGGGACCCAGGTGTACCCCTAGTGAATGATTAACTCCAAGCCCATCGACCCTGGGGCCACTGTGTCCCCATAGCCTCTTCCTGAGGATAGGCCAGCTCTGCCTGGGGGACTGGCCCTGCTTTCTGGAGACAGGTGTGATGCATGGGGTCTGAGCCCACCCCTCCAACCTGAAGACCTAGGGACCATTACTGCTCTGGGGCTCCAGGTTAATATTCTTTTTGCCTTTTTATTTTTATTTTTTTGTGGTGTTGGGGATTGAACCCAGGGCCTTCTGCATGTGAGGCAAACACTTGACCAGCCCCCCGCTTTTTTGCCCTTTTATGACTGGTGGTGTTTCACTTCATAGAGTGGAGCCTGTTGTCAACATGCCCAAATCAGACTCCTAGTTTCTCCTAAGGTCTTGGGTCTTGAGGATTCTGGGAGCAGGGACCCAACCTTGCAACTCTCCAAACACCTCCCCAACAAGCTCTTCTGCCCTGAACACAGGGACTGATTTGAAGGCCCAAGGTCACAATTTGGCATAGGTGGGCATGGAGGTGACAGGAATCTGGGCAGGATGAGGAGCCAGGGCTGACATTGGACAGTTCCACATCACAGCACCCAAAGGAGACACACTGCGGACACGTGGAGACCAGGAATACAGAGCCTCACTCACACCATCTATAGTCACACAGGCACACATTTATATACACTTAGATGCACCTGTAGACACACAGAGATAGTTGAAGACACAGCCTTGTCACCTGGTTGAACTTGAAATGTACCACCACAAACCCTTGATTCTGCCAGGTGAAGCTGCTCATTCTCTTTTCCTTCCTTCTCTCTAACACCTGGCGCCTCCCTCAGCTCTCTGCTTCACTGGGGAAAAAACGGGAAGCTCTTAGAAAAAAACTTGCCCAGTCACCAATGCCTGCACCCACGTCTCTGCACTCCACCTGTGAGTATAGCAGAACAGCCCACCTGACCAGAAAGCCAGCTTCTTGCTGGGCATGGTGGTGCACGCCAGTATCCCAGAGGCTTAGGAGGCTGAAGCAGGAGGATGGTGAGTTCAAAGCCAGCCTCAGCAACTTGGTGAGGACCTAAGCAACTTAGCAAGACCCTGTCTCAAAGTAAAAAATAAAAATGGCTGGGGATATGGCTCAGTGGTTAAGCACCCCTGGGTTCATTCCCCATACAAAAAACCCTGACTTCCTACTCTACTCCCTGGCCAAGTAACTACTCCCTATTTCCTTGTGCCTTTTAGCATTAAAACTCCTGGAAATAGTGAACAAACTTACCACCTCTAGTTCTTTCTTAGATCTGATCCCCTCAGGATGTCACCTTCTCCCTCTTCTGTTCTCCTCAAGGTCACTGGTGACCACCTTGCCCTTCTCAGCACCTTTGGCTCCCTCCCACCTTCGCTACACTCTTCTCACCTGGCCTCCCTGACCCCTGGCCTCCTACCTGGCAGCTGGGCTGCTTCTCCCCCTGTTCCTTTCCTTACTGATCTCACACTGGCTCGGGGCCTCTCTACTTTTTGTCTCCCAGATCCTACTTAGTCTCCAGACTTAAAGGCCACCTCTGAGTCGATGACTCCTGCCTTTTACATTTCAGCCCACACCTTTTTTTCTGAACTCCATATTTGTGTCTCTAACTACCTATGGATCTGGAACAGACCTGTGATAGACACCTCATGTTCCGTGTCTCTAAAGCAGCTCTCTATCCCCCATCCTGTGGCTGGCTAGGTCTGCTTTACTCATATCTTCCCTGTCTCCCTGTTTGCTCTTAACTCAGGCCCCAGAACGTGTGGTCCTCCATGATTCTTCTCTGTCTTTCCTACCCCACACTCAAATTTGAATATATTTTACCCATAAAATACATCCAGTGCCCAGCTGCTGCCTACCTCCTCCAGGCTGCCACCCTGGAGGAGGAAGCAATGGTCTGCCTGCTCCCATTCCCATTCTTTTTTTTGTTGTTGTTGTTGTTTTTTGTTTTTGGGTACTGGAGATTGAACTCAGGGTGCTTAATCATTGAGCCACAACCCCAGTCCTCGGCCACATTTGTTTCTTTTTAATATTTATTTTTTAGTTATAAGTAGACACAATATTTTTATTTTTATGTGGTGCTAAGGATGGAACCCAGTTCCTCACGCATGCTAGGCGAGTGCTCTACCTCTGAGTCACAACCCCAGCCCCCTTGGCCACATTTCTTGATGGGAGATGCAAGGTCTCCTTGGAGAAGGGCATGTGAGGTGGGAGGTATTGTTACAGCTATCTGTGGAAAGCACAGTTTACCTAGCACGATTGTTTATAGTCTGTCTGTCCTCTCCCTGGATCCCACTAGAATACAGGAGGAATTCATAAGGGCAGACATCTCTGTCCTGCCCATTGGTCTATCCCAAACTTCTAACATTAGTGTCTGGCATGTAAGAGCTGCTCAACAAATATTTATTGAGTGAATTAATAAATGAAGAGAAACAGAAATGAGTGTAACCCGACTACACTTTTCGATCCTCCTGCCTCAGCCTCTCAAGTAGCTGGGATTATAGGTGTGTCCCACTGTGCCCAGCTTGAAATATTTTTATTTATTTTATTTTTGGGGG